GGGGGCTGGCCCCCCGGGGTCTGCCAGCAGAGCCTCTGCTACTCACAGCTGGGGGGCTTGGGTGAAGGCCTCCACCCAGCAGGGGGTTTAAAGGCCCAAAGGCCGTGTGCTCTCCCACTCTGCCCGGCACCATGGGCGCCCAGGCCTTCCCCACCACCCTTTTCCTGCTCTGCCTGACTTCTGAAAGCCTGCAAGGCGGTAAGGCCGGGCAGAGGGCTAGAGGGTCTGAACAGCTGAGGTTGGGGCTGGGGGTCTAGGGACAGCATTGGGTCAGATACTGGGGCTGTGGAGGCGGGGTGTCAGGTGTGTGAAGTCTGGGCTGGGCAGGGTTTTGGGGTGCTGGGGGAGAGATGCCTGGGTCCTGCCCCCTCTCCATCTTTGGGGTCATTGCCCCTGAGTCAGTGCCCTCCTTGCTCCCCAGGGCTACCTCCATTGTCTCCTGGCCTGGGGAAAGGTAAGTGGACCCTCCTGGCACTGGGGTCAAGGAAGAGGGCCTGGTGTCTCCCCCCAGGGGTCTGGGAGTTCTCTGGGGGAGAGCACCAGATGTTCCTCAGCTCTGGGATCCACAAGTGGGGCCTAGGAGAGCACAAGGTCCCTCCTTGTCCATGGTCAGTTCAAGTGTGGGGAGCACGGACACCTGCCACCATTGGAATGGAGTTGGGATAGGGAGGAATCTCAGCTCTGGGCATGAGAACATCAAGCACAGAGGAGGAGCCTGGACCTGGGTCTTCAAGGGGGGCAGGTTGTGACAGGAAAGGGAAAGGACATCCCTGGGAGCAAGACAGGGCAAAGGCCTGGAGGTGGGATGGGAGGGGAGGGGACAAGGCGAGCTGGAGCAAGGCCCAGGGCTGGGGCAAGTGGAGGCTGGGTGTCACAGAAGGGTCTTCACTCCAGGGACCTGGGCTCCTAAGGGTGGGAAAAGGGGCTCCCTCCTGAGACCTGATGCATCTGAGCTGCAGGACAGAAAGACTTGGGGGGTAGGGGACGAGGAGGATGAGATTTCCAGGAAGGGAGGGGTCCAAAGACCCTCTGAGGTAAGAATGGAGGAGAGAGGTGCACATGTCCCTGAGGATGTGCCCTAGGGGTATGGCCCAGACACCTCCCTCCACGCCTAGCGACCCTTCAGCCTCTGCTCTCCCTGCTCTGTTCTGCTCACCTGACTCTGTCCTTGCCCCTCCTGTGACCAGAGGGGAAACTGAGGCCCAGTGGGGGCCTCTGCAGAACGGGCCGGGGAGCATCCAGATTCAGCCCTCTTTGCCCTCTCCTAAGTCACCCCCCTTCTCCCCAACCCCACAGGCTTAGGGACCCTGAATGGCTACAGATCAGGTAAAGCTGGCTGAGAGGGTGGGCAAGGTGGGGGCAGCTCTGTGTCCTCCAAATGAGGGTGGGGCACCCCAGCTCCTGGCCCCTCTTGCCCCCCTAGACTCAACCTCTCATTTTGCCCCCAGGCTACGGCCTCCCCAGTGGCCTAGGAGCAGGTAAGGGATGGGCAAATGGGATTTGGGGGTTGGGGGCAGCCATCTCAGAAATAGGCGGGGACAGCACTGATGCCCCCCAGGCAGAGAAGCCCCCCTGTGGCCCCTTCTGGCAGGCCTCTTCGTTTCCCTCCTGCACACACTCCCCTCCCCCCAGGAATCCATCAAGACTGTTCTGGTGTCATCTCACTTTTGTACCTTGCCCTGGGCACCCCAGATTCTTTCCTGTCCCTGCTTGTTCCTCTGTTAGCACACTAAGCCCAGCCCCCAGGCAGGCAAGCCTGGCTCGCTGTGTGACCCTGGACCAGCTGGGAGCAGGCTGGGGGTGGGGGTCCTGGGGAGACCCTGAGGGAGAGGATTCTGGGTTCCTCATCTGCTACCTGGGTCTCCCCCAGGCTTCCAAGGGGGTGTTAAACTTCAGAAGGCAGGCGAGCCGTGCCCTGCGCAGTTCTCTGTCTCTCTCTCTGTCTCTCCGTCTTTTTCTCACACCCCTCACCTCCATCTATCCCCCAGGACTTGGGAACGGGAATGCGCTGGGAGCCCAGCCCGGTGAGAGCGGTGGGGTCTGGGAGTTGGTCCTCTCCCTGCCTCCCTCCCAGGCCTCGGGGGTGGGGTGGGAGGGCAGGATTGGTGAATGATCTGGGGAGGGGCAGATGGGGAGCCTTCAGGTTTGCTGTTTCTGGCTGGGTCCTGCACCCCCACCCCAGCTGGGACCCCAAACCTCTGTAGTTCATCCCTCCCTCTCCCCACAAGCCCTCCAGCTCATTATGGCTGTGGAACAGGTAGAGATGGGCCTGAGGTGGGGGGGAGCTGGGGCCGGGAGTCTAAGGGCACCCCTGAAATGGGGTGAGACCGTCCCTTGATCCCCATCTCCTTCTCAGGCACTGGAGGGGATGTGAAAGCCCACAATCCAGGCGAGCCCCCCAGCCTACCTGTCTCTCCCCATCTCTTATGCCCGGCCCCCCCATTACTCCCTTACTCCTCTCTGACCCTGCCTGCCCTGTCTCCCCAGGGTTTGGGAACGGGAACCAGCTGGGAGCAGGCGCCTTCCCAGGTGCTGCAGCCCAGCCAGGTGAGGTGGGGAAGAGGGATGGGTATGGACATGGGGGGATACGGCCTGGTCAGCATTGGGAGGGTCTTCTCCCAGAGTCCCCCAGGACAGAGCTGGTGACTCCACTGGAGGTGGAGGGAGGGGCCATAAGGGTTCCTGATGTCTGATTTGGGAAAGGGAGAACAGGACACCCCTGCTTCACCCCCACCTCAGCTGGGACCCCAAGCACCCCCGGCCTCACCCCTCACCTCAGCATGGCTATGGAGCCCCAGGAAGAGGCTGGGTCCCTGGGGTCCCCTCATCTCTCACATGTCTCTCCCCAGCCTTTGGAGGAGGTGTGAAACTTCAGAAGCTGGGTGAGACTCCGCTCTACACCCGACCCTCTGTCCACCAGCCATCACTGTCTGTCTGCTCCCATTGAAGCCCCAGCCCCCTCCTCCTCATTCTGTCCTCTGGCTCTGTCTCCCCAGGATATGGCACCGGGCTGGGAGCTGGGGCCTTCCCAGGGCTGGGAGCCCAGCCAGGTGAGGACACCTGGGGCACCGCCCTGGGGTTCAGGGAGGGAGAAGGGAGGGGGCAGAGCTGGAATCAGGGAACCAGTAGGGGAGAGACTTGGGTTCTGGGGGGAGGGCAGGGGGCTCAGCCTCTTGGTCTCTCCTCAGGCCTAGGAGGGGGCATGAAACCTCCAAATGGGTGGAGAGCCCTGTCCTGCCCCCGTCTTGTCACTCCCCCCCCATTTCCATCCCAGCCCCCTCTGCGTGCCCGAACCTGCCCACCTCATTGCTTACAGCCCCTACTTCTGTGTCCCCAGGATTTGGGATCAGAAATGGTTTAGGAGTCAGCGCTTTTCCGGGGGCAGGAGCCCTGCCAGGTGAGGGCGGCTGGGGCCGGGGCTGCAGGGAGGGGCAGGCAAGTGGGGTTCAGGGTCCTGGGCTGCAGGGAGGGGCAGGCAAGGGGGGTTCAGGGTCCTGACAGCATTCTTAGTGGAGGGGCTGGTTGGGGTCAGTGTCAACTTCTCTCTGTCTCTCCGTAAGCCTGGGAGGCAGCGTGAAATCCCTGAAGCCAGGTGAGGAGAGAGCCCCGCCCTATCACCCTGTCCCCAGCTCGGCACTGTGTCACCCCTCCAGGGACTGCTCCCTTCATTGGGCTGCTGCCCCTCCTATGGCTTGAGTTGTGGTCTTGGGGAGGGTCTCCCAGACTTTCAGGCCTTTCTCGGGACATGCTCCCTGAGAAGAACTGGTGGTGGGGGGCACAAAGGTCCTGGGCTGAGGAAGCACAGGAGGTGTGAGCCCACCTGGCAGCTGGGACCGCACACTGGCCCACCTCCAGCCTCCGCCCGCCCTCTCTCCACAGGCCCTGTGGCTCAGAATGGTGGCCAGGGACCACGTAGGGGAGGGGGCTGAGAGCTGGGGGCATATGCTTGGGTTTGGGGATTCAAGGGGTTCCAAGCTCCATCACCTGGTCCCTGTCTCTTTCTCAGGAATTGGAGAGGGCGTGAAACTCCAAAAGCCAGGTGAGCCCTACCCTGTCCCTCTGTCCCTGTCCCCCGCCCCCCACTTCTGATCCCTCTTACTCCCTCCTGCTGTCTCCCCAGGATTTGACAACGGGAATGTGGTGGGAACCAGGGCCTTCCCAGGAGTTGGAGCCCAGCCAGGTGAGGGCACCAGGCCAAGCTGGGTTCTAGAAAGGAGAGGAGGAGCTAGGGGAGGGCAGAAAATTGATCTCTGTGGGGAGGATGGGGGCAAGGAGGGGTCTGCATGTGGTCCAGTCACACGCCTGGTCTTTCTCCAGGCTTGGGAGGGGGTTTGGAACCTCAGACACCAGGCTAGCCAGAGACCCTGCCCTCCTGTCCCCCATGTTGACTCTGTCCCCACCCACCCCTGTCCTTGTCCCCCCCCAAACCATCTCCTCACACTGCTTTCTCTCTTCAGGATATGCATTGGCAATGGCCTGGGGGCCCACCCAGGGGGTTGCTAGCATGGGGGTGCTCGGAGGGGGAAGTCAGGGTGGTGCCCCCCCCCCCCCCCCGCCCCTTACCTGAGTGCCTGCCCCAAGGAGGGGGCTGGAGCCCTGGGGGGTTTATCCCAGGCAGTGGGACACACCCTTGGGGTTTTAAGCAGAGCGTGCAAGACCTTGTTTATACGTGAGAAACTCTTGGCTCCAGGACTCAGTGGGAGTCGGAGAATGTGAGGAAGAGCATTTCCAGGGCTGGGCTCGCCAGCGGCCAGTGTGGGGGCCGGGAGAAGTGGCGGCATTGAAGGCCGCCAGGGAGTCTCAGAGCCAGAAGGCAGAGGGCAGCTGTGAGGGGGCTCCTGCCACAGGTCCACCAATCACCTCCCCTACTCCTTTTGTGAATCTGTGCAGGCTGAATGGAGGGATGTGAGGGGAGGGCCAGGATCCAGGGGGCAGGGTGTGGGAGGCTGGGGGCCACTCTTGCTTCAGCACCCCCAACTTTCCTGTGTCACCCTCCACGTAGGTCTCGCAGCTCTAAATGGCTTTGGACCAGGTAGACAGCAGATGGGGGTGGAAGCTGGGAGCAGGGGCTGAGTTTCTGGGGAGAGGCCCAGAGATGAGGGGCTTCTGGGTCCTCACTTGCTCATCTCTTCCCCAGGCTTTGGAGGGGGCGTGAAACCCCAGAAGCCAGGTGAGCCTCCCCGTGCCTGTCTCTCTCCGCCTCCCCAAAACCCTGAGCTCCCCTCCCCCCATTCACACCCCCACCTCGGTGTGTCCCCCCAGGTTTCGGGAATGGCAATGGGCTGGGAGCCCAGCCAGGTGAGACTGGTGGGGTCCGGGGTGGGGGTCCACGTCTGGGTGTCCTCTCCCACCTCCCTCCAGGTCTTCCAGGGGCAGGATTGGTGAGTGGTTAAGAGAGTCTGGAAGAAAGTGTCCAGGACCCCTGGTTCAGGCTTGGCTCTGAAGTGGGGACCATAGGCCGGCCCTTCACCCCCACCTTAGCCAGGGTCCCAAACCCCCTGCTTGTCCCTCCCTCCCCCACAGGCCCCCCAGCTCAGAATGGCTACCCAGCAGGCCTCCCAGCTCAGAATGGCTACGGAGCAGGTACTGGGAGTTGAGAGAAGCTGGAGTCAGGATGCTGGGGTCTGGGGGTGGCTCTGAGATGGGGGGCTCCTTGGTCCCTCACCTGTTCCCCATTTGCCTTCAGGCTTTGGAGGAGGTGTGAAAACTCAGAAGCCAGGTGAGCCTCACCCTGCCTGTATCTCTGTCTCTCCCAAAGTTTGCTACCCCCTCCCCCTCTCACCTCCACCTTGATCTGTCCCCCCAGGATTTGGAAACGGGAATGGGCTGGGAGCCCAGACAGGTGAGACTGACGGGGTCTGGGGGGGTCTGCGTCTGGGCATCCTCTCCCTCCTCCCTCCAGGCCTTGGAGAGGCGGGATTGGTGAATAATTGTGGGGGTGCTGGGAGAAAGCCTCTAGGATTCCAGCTTTCTGGCTTAGTCCAAGAGAGGGGACCTTCACTTCCACCTCAGCCGGACCCCAAATCCCTCCAGCTCACCCTTCCTCTCCCTACAGGCCAGGTAGCCCAGAACGGATATGGAGCAGGTAAGAGCAGAGTGAGAGGACCCTGGGGAGGCCTGGAGATGGGGGCTCCTGAGTCCCTCACCTGCTCCCTGTCCCTCTACCAGGCTTTGGAGGGGGCATGAAACCCCAGAAGCCAGGTGAGTCCTGCCCCAGTCTTGTCTCTCTCCATGTCCCTCTGAAGCCAGAACACCCCCTACTCACACCTCCCATCACTCCCCAGGATCCGGGAAAGGGCTGGGAGGGGGGCCTTTTCTGGGGCAGAAGAGCAGCATCCTTAGTGGGAGAGGGGAGGGCGAGGAGCGGGGACAGGGGCCCAGGAGGGCAGGGGGCTGTGTGCCGAGCAGGGAGATGGAGGAGTTGGCCTGTGGCCTGGGAGGGGGCATGAACCATTAGAAGCCAGTTGAGGGAGAGACGCTATTGCACCCCCAGCCTTGTCTCTGAGGCCCCCCGACTCTGTCCTGCCTCCTCCTGAACCCCTGCAGACACTGACCCTCAGCCCGCCCCTGTTTCTCCTCCCCAGGATACGGTAATGGAAATGGACTGGGAGCCCGGCCAGGTGAGGGCAGCTGGACCCGGGGCCTGAGGGGTTGGGAGGAAGGAGAGAAGCAAGAGCTGGGGGCACAGAAGACCAGGAGGACAAGAGGATGGAGGGTTGGGGCCTGGGGGTCGGGAGAGGCCTGGCAGAGGCAATGTCAGCCTCTCGGCCTCCCTAGGCCTGGGAGGGGGGCAGGAAACCCCAGCAGCCAGGTGAGAGGTGAGCCATCCTGTCCCTTGTCCCCCTCAGGCTTCTTTTTCTGCCCCCGCCTCCCGCAGACCTAAGTGCATTGCGCTGGGCCTGTGTGGGACTCTGAGCAGAGGGGACTACCTGCTTCATGAATGTTCCAGGGCACCAAGGACCATGGGGAGAGGAATGGGAGCCAGACCAAGGGACCTCAGTGCTGGCCTCACCCCCTCAGCCCCATGGCCAGCTTTATTATGCCCCCCTTATCCCCAGAGGCCCTGCGGCTCAAAATGGCTATGGACCAGGTAGGGGTGGGCTGGAGTTCTGGGGAGGCCCAGAGATGGGGCCTGGTCCCTCACCTGCTCCCTGTCCCTCTACCAGGCTTTGGAGGCGGCGTGAAACCCCGGAAGCCAGGTGAGCCTCCCCCTGCCTGTCTCTCTCCGCCTCCCCAAAACCCTGAGCTCCCCTCCCCCCGTTCACACCCCCACCTCGGTGTGTCCCCCCAGGTTTCGGGAATGGCAATGGGCTGGGAGCCCAGCCAGGTGAGACTGGTGGGGTCTGCGGTGGGGGTCCGCGTCTGGGTGTCCTCTCCCACCTCCCTCCAGGCCTTCCAGGGGCAGGATTGGTGAATAGTTATGAGGGGCTGGGGGACCCCTGGTTCAGGCTTGGCTCTGAAGTGGGGACTACAGGCCTGCCCCTCACCCCCACCTTAGCCAGGCTCCCAAACCCCCTGCACGTCCCTCCCTCCCTGCAGGCCCCCCAGCTCAGAATGGCTACCCCGCAGGCCCCCCAGCTCAGAATGGCTACCTCGCAGGCTTCCCAGCTCAGAATGGCTACAGAGCAGGTACTGGGGGGTTGGGAGAGCTGGGGACTAGGAGAGGAGGAGAGAGGAAGGGTGCTGGGGAGGAGGTGGTCCTCATCCAGACCGTATTCTGAGATGCCTCTCTGGGTTCCTGCCAGACTTGGAGAGGGCAGAGTTGGCAATGAAGGCAGGTGGCATGGGCAGAGGAGGCCCTAGGCTTTCTGGTTCCTAAACTGGGAGAAAAAAGCCGCCCAGACCCCAGCCTCCTGCACCTCAGCCTCTCCCTCTCGGTCCCCACAGGCCCTCGGGTTCCTATCAGTTACGCACCAGGTATGGTAGTGGACGCTGGGGGCCAGACGCCAGGGCTCTGGGGGAGAGGCCCAGTGGGTGGGTCACGGGTGCCTCACCTGCTCCCATCTCTTCTCTAGGCATTGGTGAGGGCGTGAAACCGCAAAAGCCAGGTAATCTCTTTCTCTCTTCCACTCGTGATACTGAGATTTATAATAAGAGATATATATTCAGTCTTCCTCCTGTTCCTGGCACAGAGCTAGGTCCTAAAAGCTGTGGAATTTCGTAAGTAAGGAGGGTGCTAAAGGTGTCTTTTGTTGTGTTAATGAGGTGACTTTTGGACTTCCCCTGGGTCGCCTAAGGCTGGGGGCTTGGGGCTGGTGATTAGAGGGTGGGAACTTGCAGTCCCACCCCTGACCTCAGGGAGGGGGTGGGGCTGGGGAGTGAGGTCAATTACTGATGGCCAAGGAGTGAACCAGTCATGCCTGTGTAATGAAGCCTCCATTAAAACCCAAAAGGACTGGGTTTGGAGAGCTTCCCTTCGAGTCCGTGAACAGTGAACATATAGGGATGTGGGGACAGCATGGAGGATCTGCACCCCTCCACCATACATTGCTCTGTGCATCTTTCCCATCTGGCTGATCCCGAGTTATATCCTTTTATAATAAACCGGTAATCTAGTAAGTAAACTGTTTTCCTGAGTTCTGTGAGCCGCTCCAGCAAATTAATCGAACCCAAGGAGGAGGTCATGGGAACCTCCGATTTATAGCTGGTCGGTCAGAAGCACAGGTGACAACCTGGACTGGCGATTGGCATCTGAAATGGGTGAGGAGGGGAACAGTCTTGTGGGACTGAGCCCTTAACCTGTGGGATATAACGCCATCTCCAGGTTAAATAGTGTCAGAATTGAGTTAAATTATAGGACACCCAGGTGGGGTCTGAGAATTGCCTGGTGGTGTTGGAAACCCCCAGAATTGGAATTGGTGTCAAGATTAGACCCCCCTACTTCCCTCTACCCCCAGAAACTGTCTACTCCACCTACCCCGTTCCCCCTCGCGACCCCCACCCTCTCTCCCCAGTGTACAGCAATGGGCTGGGAGCTGGAGCCTTCCCAGGCGAAAGGGCCCAGCCAGGTGAGGGAGGCAGGGGTGGGCCCTGGGGTGCTGGGAGGTGGTCGAGAGGGGAGGAGGGCCACAGGGCCCCATGGGGCAAAGAGGGGTCCTGGGGAAGAGAAGGGGCAGGGTGGGGTCTGACCCACCCCAGCCCCTGCCCTCATGCCTGCTCTTCCTCCCAGGATCCCTGCTAGGGAGGGCACTGCAGCTCCCACCAGGTGAGGGCAGTGGGGGCCCCAGTAGGGGAGGGAGACGGCTCATTCTTTTTTTGTGTGTGTGTGAGGAAGATCAGCCCTGTGCTAACATCTGCCAGTCCTCCTCTTTTTTTGTTGAGGAAAACTGGCCCTGGGCTAACATCCGTGCCCATCTTCCTCCATTTTATATGGGACACCGCCACAGCACGGCTTGCCAAACGGTGTGTCGGTGCGCGCCCCGGATCCGAACCGGCGAACCCCAAGCCACTGCAGCAGAGCAGGCGCACCTTAACCGCTTGCACCACCTGGCCGGCCCCAGAGAGGGCTCATTCTTAGGGCCAGGGCTGGTAGGGTCTGAAGCGGCCTCTGTCTCTCCTGCAGGTCTGGGAGGGGGTGTGAAACCTCAGAAGCCAGGTGAGTGAGAGATCCCTCCATATCTGTCCTGCACCTCCTCCTGCCTCTCCTTCCAGAACCCCCCTCCCCTAAATACTGCCTCTCACATCCCTGCTTTCCTCTCCAGGATATGGCAATGGAAACGGGCTGGGGGCCCAGCCAGGTGAGGCCTCCAGGGCTAGAAGGGGAATGATGAGGAGGGAGGTAGGGGGGATGGTGGGCAAACAGCAGGAACCACATCAGGTGGCTGGGTCACCTCGTCCCCAGAGCAGGTCGTGGCCCCTGGGAGCTGGACTTTTTCTGACCTGGCCAACCTCCTCCTTTGGAAGCTGTGTCTGCCCTAGAATTGGCTGATGAATTGGCCAAGCCGAGTCCAGGAGGGCAGACTGGGGTGGGCGCTGGCCTGGGCTCAGTGCTCTCTCCCTCCCAATCCAGGTCCCTGCAATGAGAGGGGCCCTCCTCTGCTTCTCCCTAGGGCTCCCACTCCAGGGGGCCCTTCTGATAAAGGGGGTGGCTGGGGCCCAAAATCCCAGCCCCCTCCCCCAGTGCAGAATGGCAACTTCCCAGGTCAGTGTGGAGGGGGACAACTGGGGGGACCTGGTCCCAGGAGGGGCTGGGCCAGGTCGGGCTGCTCAGAAGCCTCTGTACCCGTTCTCCAGTTGAGACTGAGGCTTGTCACAGTGAGCCAGCTGCGGAAAAGCTGAACTCTGGTCCTGAGACCACGTGTGGCCCCCAATATGGCAGCTCCCCCCAGCCCCTGCCCCCAGGGCAGGCTGCCCCATTCCTGACCCACCCTGCTCTGAGCTCACTCCTGTCCCCTGGCTTTCTTCCTAGCACCGACTCCAGCCATCCAGTGGGGACTGAAACCTCAGAAAGCAGGTGTGAGTCTGTCTGCTCCCCGTCCCCATGCTAGATCAGGTCAATCCTCCATCACTCTTGTTCCCCACCTGCCTCGGCTGTTTGGGCACCTTAAGGCCAGGAAGTCCCTCGCCGAGCCTACCCTCAGTCTC